TGTGGCTAGTAGCTCCCGTCGGAAATCATCCCACGATCGAATGGTACCTTCATGGTTTTCAAACCACGTTCGTGCGCTGTCCTGCAATGCGAAATAAACTCGGCGGAGCTTCCGTTCTTCGGGCCATCCGTTGCAGTTGGCGACGCGCTCAAAACCCTCCAGCCAATCCTCGGCGTCTTCATGAGGATCGCCATGAAAAGGGTCCGGCGTCCGTGGCTCATCGACAACGACGTGCGTGGCAGCGACTGGAGACGAAACGGCGTGTGCGGCAGCGGTTGGAGACGACATTTCGGTACTCTCACCGGAGGCAGCTGGAGACACTCTGGGCTCTAGTGGCAGGGGAAATTCCGGCGGCTCACCACGTAGACGACGGCTGGAGCGCTGATGAACTGGCGTGAGCTCAGTTGGTTGGACTGCTCGTGGTTCCGGGCTGCTTCCTCGAAGTCCAACTGGGTTTGGGATCATTACCCAGCACTTCCACCAGAATTGTTACGTACAATCCAAATGGTGTACGAATAACTGTTTATTGGGGCGAACTTGTGCCCGAAAAGTAGCGGCGACTGTAACAGGCGATCAGCAAAAAGGGATCAATCTCCGAGAGAGAAAAACCCTCAAGTGGTGGTCCACTTCTTCTTCATCAAAATCCCGTGCTGAGGAAGCGCGCGCCGTCACGGCCTTTTCTTGTTTGATCATAAAGCCGCTGATCTCTTGGGGGGGGGGGGGGGGGGGTGCATGAACTAGCGCGCGTAGTTTGAATACTGCGTTCACCTTGCGTCAATATGTTCAAGCTGTTAAATAAACTAAACACATTTACTTTAAGCCTAGTAGAGCGACCTAATATATCACTGATCTCTACTAGGGATGTGCGCAATATACAATGCCTGTACTATCATCATGTACCAGTTTCTCGTCTTAAACGTCCCATCGAGTTCAAATCGAGCTTTTCGAGTTCAAATTTGGCGCTATGAATTCTCTCGAAGCCGACTACGAGCCAGCGACGGAGGCGGGAGGAATCGAAGTATATCAAGCATGGCGGCGCCCAGGTTGCTTGGAGTAAGCCCTCCGATATGTCCATTGCGCATGAAGCTCTCAGAGGTCATGCTAAGTCAAGGAGGTTATATACTACGTCTTCTGGAGTGGAGGTGCGCCCCGATAAGTGATGCCGGTCGCCGTCATATTGTAAAAGGAAAGGCTCGGAAGCAGACGACAAAGTGCGCTTCGTAGCTCCGCCCTCGCAGTAGCCTTTGGAGACAGTGACATGCTCTTGTAAAGCAGTTACGCAGTTTACAATGCCATGGTGACTTCGTGCGTCGCTTATGGGTGCACAAATCGCATCAAGAAGACTCCTGGGATCACTTTTGACGTGTAAGGATTCTCGCTTCGTTCGTTGACGATCGCCTGTTTTTTTGTGTTTTTTTTCGCGTATTCTGTTAAATTAGAAACAACCTCAAAGGTGCGCATGCATGTAAAGCATGCGTATAGTTGTATAGAAGGTAACGTGAAGCTTAAAACAAGCTTTAAGTGCTCGCTGACACGACGTTGTCTATGAGTTTTGAGTTTATGGACGAAGCACTTGCGGCCTATGGCTGCACGTATCAAACATTGGAACGAATCCCTTCGAATTCCAAGTTTTCTGGTGTTGTCTTACAAGGCAAAATTGACGGCGAGCATGCATATTTTTTTGGCGAGTGAATATCGAATTCGGTGCATGTTTATTGAGGAATTCGCAAACTTAGAGAATAAGTCCGAAAGACAGTGGTTTCCGAAAGACAGTGCGCTGAGTTCTGCCTTGGAACGTGCTGTTCGAAGAAATAGTTCGAGGGCTACGGACGGTGACCACCTCTGTTCTATTCACTTCGAAGAATGCTGCTTCGACAGAACGGGGCAGACCAGACTGCGGCCTAGCAGTGCACCTTCAATTTTTCCTGCTTTGCGAGCGCATCTGCAAAAACCTGTTAGTTTCTACCTCTTTGACGAAGCTTCAATATAATTTAGTCACAAAAATAAGCAATTGCATCTAAAACAAGATGAGACACCTTTGAAATCCAGCTGTTTTATCTTACCGACGAAACCGAAACCAAAACATCGATAGTCGAAGTTGCCAAAATGAGAGAGTGGCGTTATATCAAACATCGAGCTACCTGCGCTTGCCATGACAACACACGTCGCCAATGGAATTTGATAAATATTATGCATAACTAATGCCACTGCAATCGTTCTTATAAACGGTTCATTTAGGGTACGTCTCCTAGAGTTTGTCTGTTGCACGCGACATTGGTGCTTCGGTTTTGGTTCTACCTGTAAAATGTTTAGAATTCGATAACTCTAGAAACATTACTGGTGACTCCCAGTTCACCTAATTACCTCTTTTTTCTAACTTTACCTCTAATTATTTCAACTTCCTTATGAATATTCTCTGGTAATCTGCCGACACACACCCAAGTCGCATTCCCCTGGATCTTGGGTTTTTATATCCTCCTTGGTACCTACAGGCGCATTTCTTAAAAGACGCAATATATACTACAACCAGCAAGCTCGATATGCAGAGCGTCCCTCGACAACAGATTGATCTGAAAGCTTGCAGCTCATTTCATAAACAAGAAGAGGCATTTGTTCGTTGGTGTAACTTAAAAGTGGTTTCCATCTCACTTTTTTCATCGTGGAACTGCAAACCGACGCGCGCAACGCGCGTATTCCTTAGAAGTGTGGCAGCTTGGGCTAGTTGGTATGGCATGACAAGTGTTATAGCGCGAGAACAAAACGACGACACAGAGACAAGAAGGACCTTCGTGTCCCTCTTGTCTCTGTGTCGTCGTTTTGTTCTCGCGTTATAACTATCGTCAGGCGCGTATTCTATCGCGGTCTAAAGCGGCTCCGCCCTGTTTTTCCTCTAGCAATATGGCTGCCGACGGCTTCACTTGCTCCCGTTGACGACGACCAGGATTGTCACTCCAGAAGTTCTATAAAACCTCCTTGTGCTAAGTTCACCCAAATAGGGCTTTTTTGGCGCGTGGTCAAAACTGTTACAAATTGCTTTTACTAACATGAAAGTCAGGTTAAAGAAATATTAATAGTAGTAGTAAAACGCAGGGGATAATAGCGGGGTCTCACGGAATGCACCCTGTCGCATCGATCCACGGAGGAAGGAAAAGCATCGATCAATGTTTAGTCACGTGACAGTGTTCTCTGACGCAGCGTCTGGCGTGTCATTTGATTGGACAGGCCGCTGGCGCATTTGCGGGTGCGTTTGGTTTGAAATCTGGCGTCGGTGTGCTCAACGTCGGTGTGTTCTGCCACGGACTGTAAACCGGGAAATCTGGTGGGTACCGACTACTTGAAACTCCCGAATTTGTGTGGTGAGCAGTCAATACTTCCAATCTGACGTTCTAATGGAGGTAGCGCGAACTGTTTTTAGTGGGCGTTTGCTCGATGCCAGTGTGCCACAGGCAGCGACAACTACCCGCTCCCGTCTGAGCAGCGGCGTTCATCGAGGTAACAAGCGCGACATTTGTGAACTAGTAGGATATATTTGCAATAGGATGTTCAAGCCAACCACTATACCGTAGCGTTCACAGCATGAAATCTTGACAGCTCCCGTGAGCACAGTTCCCTCGAAATATTTCCGTTCGGACAGTTGCGTGCACCACTCGAATCTCGAGCACGCTGGAGTTTATCCAGGATAATGGGTTTTGGAAGGGGCCATCCTGGGCTAACGCGTACATTTTCTGTGGTGGCGAGAACGCTGTATGCCCGTGTGCTCATATTTGGGTGCACGTCAAAGAACCCTACGTGGTCGAAATTTCCGGAGTCCTCGACTACGGCGTCTCTCATAATCATATGGTGGTTTGGGGAGGTTAAACCACACATATCAATCAATCAATGGGCTAACGCGTCAAGCGCGGTGATGCGAGCTTGTTGCTGCATCACGAAAGGTGATGGTTTAGGCCTGTTAGAGACGAGGACGATGAAAGGAAGAGAGACAGCGCCCGTGTGTCCAGCGTCTTCGCCAGTGCTATCCAGCGCTTAGCTGCCGCCTCAACATCCCCGGTGCGCCCATTTTGCAACACGGAGGCGTGCGAACGCTGACACGTGAAAAAGACACCACGCAAACGACGATTCGAGGAGTCCGTCTTTGTGATGAAAACATCTACGAAGAGTGGTTGTGCCGGAGCCGACGTTGCGACAAGCAGTGAAGGGTCGAGATACAGCAGGTGACTGGGGCGCCACCAAGGTGGCAATAAATCAACAGACGTAAAGGTGAGGCCTGCCACGACTGTTGCTTCGTACGAAGGATACCAACAGCATGGAACTGTGGTTACACAAAGAATGCAGGCAAACTTCGGAGCAACACAGTCTATATGAATACACAATTGTAGTAACCGTGTTGCTTATACATGTACTGTGCTAGTAATCAACCAAGCAATTCTAAAAATAGTGCTTTATTGTTACATTTGAGGCTCTGACTTAGTAATGTTTCAAGTCTGAAAAACAGCACCTAGACAAAATCATGCTTTATTTTCTGGACAAGCGTAATTTAATTCTCATTTTATTCCTTCAAACCTTGTCCCCATCCATTCCAGGATTGTGAAAATGTGGAGCGATTCTGTTGTCATTCCAATTCCAAAGTGGAAACCACTCTGGTGTGTTTGGTGTATTGGCTTCTCATGTGCTTGCACGTCCAGTCTTTAAGTGTAGCTCTACTTACTGCTGTTCTACTCTTCTTCACTGTTTCCAGCAACGTCATTATGCAAATGTTTGTCACTGTTTCCAGCAACGTCACTATGCAAGTTTTTTTAATCCATCTGATTTAAAACAATGCTGCGTATAGTTGGATATCATTAAGATCTAAGCCATACGTTTCGCTGCGTTCAAAGTTTATTGCAGTATTTTGCAAAGTGCATTAAAGACCCAATGAAATTGTTAAAAAAGCCCGATCAACATTAGTATACCAAGAACTCTGAATGGCAGCAACATGGGAAGAGGATAGTCAAGAATTAACAATGCTTATTGTGTTCTTTCTTAACTCCGCAGACAAGATGATGGCCAAGCAGGTTTTCACTTTCTCACCACCGACCAAGCCCGTCGAAGGCGAAGCGGTAGTGGAGACGCTACTCCTTCAGCCTTTCGCCAAGCCACCACAGGTCACCTTCGAAAATGTCGTTGCAAATCGCGACGCCGTACGCCAGCTGCGCATCTTGAACACAACCAACGCTGAGCAGCGTGTAATGCTGGGCGTTCCACGTGGCAAAGGTTTCACCTCCGACACCGAGGCATTCACGGTGCATCCCGGACAGTCGCAAATGGTCACCTTCACCTGGAAACCAGACGAGAAGGCCACAGCTGCCCGAGTGGCCGTCTCGGTGTCCACGGACAAAGGGGTCAGGAGCCAGTTTGTCCTGCTCGGGACAGTCCGACAGGAGGCTCATCTGCGAATCAACAAGGTACATGCTGTGGGAAGGCTAAGGGTGCGCCGGACGTGCTGTAATTTAATGTGGATGTACGCACCAGGGCGTATGTCTGTGCACGAGCCTTCATGAAACGTTGGGTCCTAGCGACGAAAATGTAATTGTAAATAGGTCTATTGTAAAAATATGTGAGAGTTGGTTAAAGGATTGGTGGTTAAAAAGTAGGCAAAAGACAAGAAATAAATAGAAAAAATAAGGTCATTCAAAAAGCCACCTTTACGCAGCTTCGTTTTTTCTTTTTCATTTTCCTCTATTTGTAAGGTATCCAGTGGTAATGAAGATTTGATTAATTGGTTGTGCCATAAGACAAAAGTGTTTCATGCCAGGGTCCTCATGTCTTCATTGACATTATTTCCATCACAAAAGTGACATCAGTAAAATATACACGAGCATGTGATTATGATAAAACATAAAAAAAATGTCTCGTTAATTTCAATGACTTGGGAATCAAACCCACGACCTCTTGGCCCAGGTGTAGGTACTGGGGAGCATTAGCCTGGCATTTGTGGCATCAGATGACATCGAGTACCACCATTCATCGCATGCTTGTCGATGCCATCTTTGCGTGGCATTCACCCGATGTTGTGTCGGGGTGTACGTTAACTACTATAGCTACCGCAAGGGTGTAGTCAAGATCACGGGTGTTAGTCAATGGGATGGAGATGTGCCACTAGGCGTCAACGCTGGTTCATCTGCATCAAACGGTCCTATAGCTGCCAAACACCAATACGCATTGTGCAAGCTCCTATACATCAATGTACAATCAAGTCAACTATTCCTGTGAAGACGTTGATTTTCATGTTATACAGGTTCCTATGACAGAGATATCAACAATCTTTTTTTTTGTTATATTTAAAGATCGCTTTAACTCCAGCGGACAAGAAATTAGTCCAACTTAAAAAAAAAATTTTTTTTTTGTGTGTGTGTGTTTGTGTGCGTGCGGTGGGCTTGGTTGCGTGCAGGCTATTGCCACATTATCATGGAGACACTCGTGTGTTATTTGCACAGCATTACTTTAGTTAAACCCTATATGCTTCTTCGCAGAAAGGAGTACCACGGTCGAGTATACTCACAACTTCTCAAAAGCCTAACCAGACCCCTGGGCTTGCCAAAAAGGATATGCCCAAAAAAGTAGCACCAAACGCAGCGCAGCCCACCAGGAAGCCTACTGGTCCCCCAAGGATCACTGTCCCAGTAGAATTCAAGACGCGTCCGAAGAAGCGCACCGGTTGTGAGAACACACGCAACGCAACCACTCAGCCGACTGCACCCGTCAGGCAGGCTTCCTCGAGCTCATCTGCATGTGGCGCCCGCCCGAAAGCCAACAGCCAGCGCTATTGCCCACCTCGTCGAACCGCTCAAAACAAACCCACAAGCAACGCTTGTCCCAGGAACCGTGCTGCTCAGGCTGGAGTTTCTCTCGCGTCAGATCCCGCTCCTAAACCTGAGGAAGAGAAACCTCCAACTGAGGCCGTTTCATCAGAAGGAATCAGAAGAGAAACGTTCAGTGGTGGCTTCGATATTCTGGAAACCATGAGCCCCTCGTCTGAGGGCAGCCACAGTCGCGTCGAGGCCGTCCAAGCTCAGCAGCCCTTGCCAACCGCCGGAGCCCTCGTTGACAGGTTTCTTCCAAATGAATCTGGTGACTCAAAGATTCAAGGAGATATGCCTTGCATAGGAGCCAATTCGCATCTTCAGGTGACTGTCAATGCTACGTTTGAGGACAGCTTGGAGCCTCGAAGTGCGGCATTTGAAGATAGCTTGAAGGTCGAGGCCAAGGATTCGGCTAATTTGAACGATGCAATTTGTATCGTTGAAGAAAGCGGCCTTGCGCAGAATGACACCTTTGAATTGGATCTGAGTGCACGCATGGAAATGCTGTACCAGCAGATAATAGAGAAACAACACTCCAGTGGCGCTCGGGAAAACACGGCCGATTCCGCCGGGCAAGAGCAGTTGGACACGAGTGCTTACTTATTGTCACTCTACAACGAGTTGTGCGAGTCAAAATCCAAGGCTCTCCTGTGCAGTCCGTCGCTGGTGGACAAAGCGTTTCCTGAAGCGATGCTACAGGAACGCCGCTGTTCGTCGCCGAAATTGCCGGAAAATTCGGGCCAGGACAACTCTCTGGAAGACCTCATTCAACGGCTCGAGCTCGACGCGTGTGACAATCCGCTGCGGAGAGTGACCCAGACTCGCAATGAGGGTGCATCATTTGATGAGCACGCTTGCATTGAAGACTCTCTTTCTGCGGACTTGAGCGGCATCCTGGGTAAGCCAGGAAATGCATCCTGAAGTATCTGCGTCAACGACGATTGGCAGTGCCGCTCTTCAGTGCATGTCACATAGTCAAGCCTTTTCCCGTCATCTTTGAGTGCACTTTATTTTAATGCTAAATAAACATACTGTAGCTTTTGTACAAAGGGCTTGATATGTCAGCATGAAGCGTTGCATATTGTCTGTTTTATATATTTTATACTTTTATGCTATGTACAGGATTGTGTTTATTACCCGAATAAAATTAACTAGAATGGTTATTTTTTTCCTCTTCTTTACATTGTCGTCCCTGAAGACTAGTTACATCAACCAAGGATAAAGTACAGGCAAGCCACAAACATATGTTTCAAGTCTTGAGAGTTTGCTTTTTCTTCAATGAGCTGTCATTCACTTAACAGCTTACTTATTCAAGCTAATTCAGGACCTAGGCTCTCTGCTTGCATGGCTTATCAGTAGCCTACTTTATCCAGTGAACACAGAAGTTACAGTTCACATGAACTTGCTTGGTCTACATTCGTATTGTACGCAGGAGTCGAAGTTTCAATACCTCACCTGTGAGTCGTATGATGCGAGCAGAAACATAATATGGCTTACCACCACTGTGCAGTTTGAATGAAAGGTTTTACTTGGTGTTGCATTATTATCGCTAGTTACTAGCGTTTTCCATACGATTTTCTGGTAACCTCAGTACCAAACTATTGCCGAAGGGATTGGGTAAAAATACATAAGGAAGCATACCAAAGCAGCAAAAGTGGCTAGTTAATGTATAAATTGATTGATTAGCCAAACCTGCGAGTGATGACACCTGTAGTGGCCGTACATGACAGAGTTGTGCTTGGTAGTGACAACCTTACTGGGAGGTAATTCCATTTCCAACAGGTCCTTAAGAATAAGTTATTCATGACAGCTTCTGGTGAGGCAGTGTATTGTTCCATCCATATAAATATGATCAATGACATTAAATGTAATTGGGGATCATAAAATTATCATGCAGGTAGGCATTGTGGAAATTTAAGCTATAGAAAGCTAGGCAAAAACTAAAGCCTCATTCACACCACCAACAGCAGTCTTGTGACCATGGCTGATAATGTCTGGCATTACCACTGTCCCGCAAATGGGCAGACTTCATGTTCCTGTGCTTCATGTTCCTGTGCTTATAGTGATTAAGTTGTGTGCAACTGCGGGCACACAACTGAAAAATTGACCGATTGAGCCAAGGCAATCACTGTGTGACCAATGCGGTATGAAGGAGCATTTACAGTAATAAGAAGTTTTCTACGGCCTTTAATGTCTCATGATCGCATAAACGCCTCTCTGTCTGTGCCCTGCAATGGTGCGAGCTGTGGTCTCGGCAATCACGTGATGGCTCAACTTGCACAGCAATGGTTGCGCCGGCACATCTGTGGACTCTCCCCCTTACTCTCTCATAAATCACGTGATTGCTGAAAATTAACAAAAATGAAAATAAAAGGGCGTATCAAGACTTTTTACAGTGTTGCTGGCAGTACACGGGGAATAAATTTAAATTCTCGCGGTCCTAGAGGCATTTTTTCCGGGCATGCAGGATGAACTGCGATACGGAGGAAAAACTTCAGCAGCGTATGCGGAAGATTTTCAGGATCTGTCGCAATCTCTAGATCACTTTGCCGGCTGCCCCTCGGTTCCTACGGCACGGTGAAAAATATCGGTTAAACTTGCGTGGAGAGTAAAACGTCAACTAGCTACAGCATGCATGTACACTGTCATTCTTTGTGAAAGGGAACGTGCGATCACGTGACCTGCTCGCACTATCTTGCAACGCTTGTCCAGCGGCCATAACTCGTTGTTTTGTTTGCCAATAGATGACGCCAAAAGCCAATGTCTCTTCTTTTGATGTCGGTTTATGATGGTTCTGTAGGCAGCCGCCGCAGAGCGCAGGCCAAGCGTTCACGTGTTCCAGTGTACTTCATAAATGTACCTGTGGGATCACTTGATTCACGAGGTCCGCACTAATCCAGTACTTCCGTCGGTGTCTGACGCATATGGCCACGGCGGAAAACTGAAATTTCTTCAAGGTGCGTAGTTCTATTTCTAGGCACAGTTTACGACACAACAATTTGCACGCGATGTTGCGAAGCACCGCTAACAAAATCTAACAACATGACACGGCTACGCTCAGGGATATGGGCTGCCAATCAAAAGCTCACTGAAGCTCACTTCAGTCGTAGATGCTTAGATCTTGCATAGAGTTGTAGTTATATGTTTACATGCCAACAGCAAAATGAATATAAACGGTGCTTGTTTACATTCACACTTAACTGCACAGGTAGGTAGTGGTACTCACACCATTGGTAAATGGAAGTGCGCCGGAGTGTGCATTTCTGTAACCTAATGAAGTCAAATTGTTTTCTTTTTAACTTTTAAGGTGACTTTGTTTAGGTTTATTTTTGCCTTTGGGCTATGGCGGACGCCAGCTTAGAGGCAGACTGCTTTAGTTTGTTCAATAATTAACTAAATTCATCACTGCTCAGTCTCTCGCGTTCAAATTTGGCACTAGGGATACTCAGGAACATGACCTACTACACTCCTGACCTGCCCAGAGAGCACCTCTTCCAGCGCCCACGTTCTAGTTCATACCTTCTGCCGCTAGGGCCGTCACCTACGAGCGGCGTGGCGCTAGGCAGCACCTGTTCGCTGACGTCACCTTCACTCTTTGTAGTCAAATTTTAACCAACAAAGCACTCGTAGTGCGAATTTATGATCCACAATTTAGAAATATCCAGAAATAATAATACTAAAAGACATTCAGAATTTTTTTTGCAATAAAATGCACGCGACAACGCATAGGCTGTCCAAAATCATGTAAATCCACGGGTTTCCACGTTTGTCAACCAGTGTGCTATAAATTCTTAAGCGCACTGAACAGCTTACTTGACCAGCAATGTATGGGAAGAAATAGTCACATATATGCCGACAGTTCACCACAGAAAGCAGGCATTCTTATACCAGCGCCTACAAAACAACCGTAAAGAAGCAGACGAACAGGTTATAGGTAGCGCCACCTACGGCGAGCGATTGAACGAGAGCGGGGACACGCGCTCCCATAGGAACCCCGCTATCTGAACAGGTCAGGAGTGTAGTAGGTCATGCTCAGGAAGCCGAGCATACCTCAAAGCCGAGTACGAGCCAGCAACAGGGAAGGTCGAAAGGTATCCAACATGGCGGCGCCGAGTCAGTTAAATGCGTGGTTTAATGCATCGTGGTAGTTAGAACGAGCACGTTGAGACATTCACTGCTTGTCGCGTTTGGGTTGTCGCCCGGTCTGCAAGTAGAATTCGGTAAAATTACAAACGCCGCTGATAATGGCTGGCGAACAGCTGGTCTGCGGCGTGTGCAGTAGCGGCGAGCCGCGGTATCGTTGTCCGCGCTGCCTCACGCGGTACTGCTCGTGCAACTGCTACCGCAATCACAAGCAAGAGGAGGGCCGTTGCCGCGAGCCCGAGGCGTCTGCACCCGCACGGAACGGCGAAGAAGAGCCCGGGTACCGGTACCCGACGCCACACACGGTACCGCCGGAGGCGCTGCGCCGCTTGCGCGAATCTGAAGCCGTTATGGAGACCCTTCGCAACGTGCACGTGCGGAAGCTGCTACGAGACCTGGACCGTAGCAAGGACCCCGAAAGCATGCTCGACTCGTTGATGCGAGAGCCGATCTTCCTGGAATTCGCGAACGCTTGCCTAGACGCAGTTGGTGTCCAGGAAGAGTAGCCTTTTGGAGCTCTACATTTCACCGACGGATCCAGCACCCGGCCGTTGTTCAGCGTCGGGAGGCGTAGGCAGAATTTTTTCCTGGGAAGGGGGCAATGTGCCACCCCTGGCTACGGCACCCACTGCTCAGCGTGTGTGTTCTTGTCACCCGCTTCTTCCCATCCCTTGGTGGTTGTCCTCTGACAGTGCGCGTTGTGATTACTATAGCACATCGTACTATCTGCCCCTTTACCGCTCAAACAGGCGTCTAAACGCCATCATAATATTCACTTCGGTTCATGTTTTCTGTTGAATCAAAAGCGTTCGATTCATCGAGTTTTCAAGGCGTCGTCGCTCTGTGGAAGTGCTTTCGCGATTGTATCACGTCGTTATGTTAGTACGATGTTTTTTGGCGATCAGTTACGCACATTGTATGGCTAACTTTTACATAAAAATGTGTCGCTAAGAGCCTGTTCGCTTTCTCTTGTGTTATTTCAGTGTCTCGAAGTTTTATCATTTTTTTACTGTTCACATGACGTATACATGTGTTGTTCTGCCATTTGTATGGCCAATTTATTTTTACCGTCACTGTTATCTGCAAACTTGACACACCGTACATAGTACCCGCCCTTTTTTAGACCTGTGAGTCATAATACATAAAAATTGCAGAATGCTTGAGCTTTGCCTTTAAGAGCAGGTAGCAATAGCACAGTTGGGCCACGTGTGCATCGTATTCTGAACTGCTACCCTGCTTCGATTCTCTATGCATGCCTCAAGCATGCTGTGTGAAAGCTATCGACTGTTTTTGCAACATTGGCTGCTTCAAACTATCCTAGGATGGCTACTGAAAGTATAGTTGATAAGTGTCCCCTATGCCATACACTCCATTTGGCACCTATACATAGTGTGCACGTGCATCACGCAGCGCCGATTCGTCACTTCCGAAATGCGCCACTGACATGCCTGAGTACCTACTGACTGCGTGGCCAACTGCTGCCGTGTTCTTTCCTCGTGCATGCGCCCGTTCAGTTTTGCCTAACGATGCAAGTTGGAGCAATTATCAGCTGCTGGTGAGGCAAATTGATATAACAGTCCACGAAGAGCGAGCAGGGCGTCGGGGTGTTCTCTTTGCCGAAAGTTATTACCTGAAATTGAGAACGCACACTGCGATTCTTCGAAAAGCACCAGCATTTTTGGCTGGCACAGATTAACAAAAACGACTTGAAGAACCGGTGGTATTTGAGTCTTCAGGTGTAACTTCATTACGGGTAAGTAATGATGTTACACCTAAAGCACGTACCTGCAAGCAGAGATAGGTGCTGTATATACAAACTTGTCCGCGACTGCTGCATGCACAATCAGCGTGGCAGAGAGGAGGTTAAAATTGTGAAGGCAATCACGGGAACTCAAGTATTGCATTCAAACAAAGAGTAAAAATGAATGTGAAACAATATTCGTTCACTCGCAATTTGAAGTGTAGCCGAACGATTCATGTTGAAGGGTCAGGTTTTTTAAAAATTGGTCGATTGATTCCTTAAAACAGTCTGCATCATTTTCAGGGACAGTACTGTACATTAGCGCACAACAAAAGTAATATACGAGGTAAAAAATGATACCCGTGCCACACGGGCAGAAAAAATGGCATTTACCCCCGAATGCCTTCAGATTTATTGCCATTCGCGCGGTGCCACACGGGCGAACAAAATGGCATTCATCCGAATGCCATTCGAATGTCATTCGCCGCCAACTGCCTTCGCCAGAACTCAGTTGACTGAGAAATGCCTACTCTCGACGACACAGCTCGCAAAGTGCGATTTACCTGAAAGTATATAAAACAAATTATATTGAGCTAAAAATGAAATTTCCCGTCTTTTATTTGCACTAAAGTCTTAAAAAGATGCTTTGAACGTTATACGAAGAAAATAAAGTATTGATAATGAAACGCTTGTCAATTTTAGTGTCTATTTACGCTGTAGATCAGACTAGTGTTGGCTTAGGTTGCTACGGTCGGCTGCAACGTTGTAAAACAAAGCAAGAAACTAAAACTTAGGACAGCGTAATACGCTTATTTCTTCATTTGATGATTATCTGATGTGTATGAAGCTTGTAAATGCTTCTTAATTTTTTTTATTCCTATTCACTCAATGCTCACTTGGAAGGTGCTGTGATCGACATCATCAAGTCAAATGTCATTCGCTTTGGACGTGTAGCAGCGCCGGCGAAACGAGGGAACTGAAGGCCTTCGCCACCAAATGTCATTTTCTATCCCCGTGTGGCACGGGTATGAGTCAAAACATTCGCAAAAAAAAAAGTGACCGGCATCAGCGGGGCACGCACCATGCGAAGTCTCTACCTTGCTTAATATATTCCTTGGCTGTTTCCACAAATTCCAATCAAGGACGCTCAGCATCAGCACTGTTTAAAACACTCAGGGAGCCGCACTGCCACATTGGTGGTGTGGGCCGCAGCAATATGTTGAAATTTTTATTAATAATATATCTCTTGTAAACTTGCCTAGCTCTGCCCGATGACTCGTTTTCGATGGGAGCTGTGCGCTTCGCTCATCCACTTTTAAAATTGCAACTCGAGAGACTTTGACCTTTCACTTGTTCTTAGACTATGCAATTTGTAGTGAAAGCGAGATAATGGGCCCTCGTATATCGTGGTGGGCAGCCGGTGTAGGCAGTGGCTGGTACACGTGCCACACGTTTTGATTTTTCGGTCTTGTATCGAGTGAACAAGCAAGGCCTTCTTGACCAGATGAGCTGGTTAAAGCATGACAACGAAAAACCGCACAGCTTCTCTTCAAACATCGCGCACAGCAACAGATGACGAGCCCTCAACAAACCGCGCTGCAGCACGCAAACTGCTGTAGGTACCTAGCGAGGTACCGCAGGTTGCGGGTTTGAATCCCGGCTGCGGCGGCTGCATTTCCTATGGAGGCGGAAATGTTGTAGGCCCGTGTGCTCAGATTTCGGTGCATGTTAAAAAACTCCAGGTGGTCGAAATTTCTGAAGCCCTCCACTATGGCGTCTCTCATAATCATATGCTGGTTTTGGGACGTTAAACCCTACATATCAATCAATCATCAAATCAACCCAGCGAGGTACCCGGGCATGGCCGGAGATGGCGACAACGGCGGAAGTGACATCACACGAATACTATGTATATGATGCTCCTTAAAAGCTGCGCGAAGCGCCACTTATGGCGCTGCGGGTTCACTACGTTGAGAGTCGTGGCATACAGCAGTGCCTCCTTCCTTTGATAGATATGATGGAACAAGTGTCCGTGGCAGACACATTAATTAGTGCTTCGAGCAGGATTTAAAGATATTGTCATCATCATCATCAGCCTGACTTCGTCCACTGCTGGACAAAGGCCTCTCCCATGTTTTACCAGTTAACCCGGTCCTGTGTTTGCTGCTGCCAATTTATACCTGCAAACTTCTTAATCTCATCTGCCCACCTAACCTTCTGTCTCCCCCTAACCCGCTTGCCTTCTCTGGGAATTCAGTTAGTTACCCTTAATGACCAGTGGTTATCCTGTCTATGCGCTACATGCCAGGCCCATGTCCATTTCCTGTTCTTGATTTCATTTATGATATCCTTAACCCCCGTTTGTTCCCTAATCCACTCTGCTCTCTTCTTGTCTCTTAAGGTTACACCTACCATTTTTCTTTCCATTGCTCGCTGCATCATCCTCAATTTGAGCTGAACCCTCTTTGTAAGTCTCCAGATTTCTGCTCCGTAGCTAAGTACCGGCAAGATGCAGCTGTTATATACCTTCCTCTTGAGGGATAGTGGCAATCAACCTGTCATAATTTGAGAGTGCTTGCCAAACGTGCTCCACCCCATTCTTATTCTTCTAGTTACTTCAATCTCGTGGTCTGGCTCCGCGGTTATTACCTGCCCTAAGTAAACATAGTCTTTTACAACTTGAAGTGCAACTTGAAAGATATTGTAGGGGGAGATAAATAAAAGGGAAACCTGCGCGAAATCGGCCACGTTTTCCACGTTAGTGAACGCCTTGCTGCCCATCGTCAGTACTGATGGCTAAATGTATGTGTCACGTGTGCATAATGCAAAATTACTACTTTATAACTGTCAGGGTAAGCTGTGTGACACACTTGGAATATTATTGGTGCGTGCCCACTACTCGAATATTTGAAAAATATTCTGAGCTTTCAGAAATATCGATAGCTGCACCGCTACTTGCTGTGGAAGTCATTGTGAGTGGGCGGGCAGTGTGCTCGTCTGTTGCGGCTTTGTGCCACGGCAATTTCCGGCCACTGAGTCTTGCGAAGTGCTGTGCTTAAAAGTGTCACGGCCTCATCATGATCATGTTCTTTACCTCGCCACTCGGGCAGCTTATGCTAAGCTTGAGGCGCGGGCAAGAAAGATAATGCGCTATGTTTTTGGCCAGAGAGGACGCTGCAGCCCCGTTTCGTCTTTCGCTTTTCGTCCTCGTAAAGTGGTGACGACGGCAGCACGGTCACTTCGGCCACTGTCACGTTTTTCATTCACTACTGCCTCTTGCATTATGTTGCTTTCCAAGACAAACACTGACATGCACATCTGTCGCTACAGCATTTGCAAAGCTTTGTTTTTTTTTTTTACCCTGTAGTTCTGCGACTCTATGCAGTGCATCATTTCTTTCTAATATACAGATTGTTTACCACTCAAAGAAAAAGACTTCGGGATTCAGTTTATCACTTCTGGTAGTTCTTTCCTTCGGGGTTACAGCACTTGGTAATAGCAACAAGAGGATTTGGGATGCCATATGCGATATACTACGTGAGACAAAACAAATTGAATGGTAACCTAGTATACTGAATGAACCTTATTTTTTAACAGCATTAGTCTTTTTTGTGAATTAAGCTAATTAGTTATTTCAACAATGATCTATTGATGAGCATTTTGATATTGTAAACAAGTTCATCTATATTACAAGGCACTGCCCATTTCATGGCCGATCCCCCATGGTGGGTTTTGCCAGTTTAATAAGGGTCAACCAGCCAATTTTTTAGCTTGATCCTACCAATTGTGCATAGCTCTGCTGGGTGGCTAGTTGTGTTTATGCTAATATGCTACATAACTCAGTTCACCTGTCTACTGATGGTCCTATGAACCCAGCAAAGCACTAGTTGGCCTTGCATTGCATTCCCCAAAACTGTGAGTAGACTGTAAGTTAATAATTATCAAGATCCATTAAAACTATTCATCATCCGTTAGCTGAATTAAAATGCCTTGCATATGTTTCTTTTATCACCAGCTATATGGCAGCAAGAACATCACACAAGATAATTTCACCTGTAGGGGTGTCGTCGGACCGATTCAAGCATGCAGCGGCAGAATGCGAGAAAGTAGAGGGAGCGGGAACCAAACACTTTTTTTCGTCGCACAGCCACGATTGACTTATTTCGCTGCCCGATAAACGAGAGGCGAGAAGCTGTAAAACGTCATTCCCACCGGGCACGACGCTTACCTGCCTGTTGATAAAACCGACTACACAGCAACTCAAACTTTCGATAAACTACATGCTAGTGGACGTTGGGAGAGCATTTGGTTCTGCTTAGAACTCTCGACAACTGTCTGCTCCGACAGTCGCGCGGCGGCGCGCCAGTTGTGCACAGAGTGTATAATGTCATTTGCGAATCAGTGAAGGATTCTTTACGTGAATGAAGAGCAACACGCGAACCTACACAGCTGTTAACTTTTCTGATGGTTCTGCTGCTGATGATAATGTATAATTATGTCTGAGCACATTTTATTGGGTGGGCCTTAAAAACACCCACTAGTTGTTTAAAGCACATCTTTTGACGCCTGGCATGGTCCTACGCTTTTGCCATGTAACGTTTGATGCATTAAGGAGACTCATTCTGCCATGCAATGTTCATAAAGTGTTTTTTTTCTGAAGCAGTTTGAACAAATTTCGTCAATCACTGGTATAACAGCTGCATGCCACACATACGGCCTAGGTTTCGTCCTTACTCTGACCCAGAAATCTTTATTTATTCTATTTGCATATTTCTTGATTTTTTTATCACTACCAACGGTACCAACACTACAATTTCTACGAAACGAGCTCTTCAATGCTATGGCCTTAATATACTAGTCTGCAGTAACATTGAAAATATTCACCTGGGGTGAGTGACTCGAGGATGTCATTTTGCTTGTCTTAGCTATAAAAATATGAGTGAAGGGTAAAAAGAACACAATTACCATTTCATGCGCCTGTCAGCAAAAAGTGTTAAACAGTTGAACGTGGCATATACATTAGTCATCGATTCTACTCGTAAGTTTTCTGTATGCTCTCTCATTTAACATCCCCTGTAGCTCTGGTTCAACTGCAAACGAGTCCTCAAGTTAAAAAAATGGCTAAGAACATCGTATCACCATTCCATACCTCAGAAGGATTTCACAGGAAATAAAGCGGTATGCTTACATCTGAAAGTTTAATACTCTCTTTTTGAAGCTGGACAAAACAGCTTACTTTGTACTACTCCTCATTGCGCATTAACACGGCAGTGGAGCTTTTTGCAGGAAAAATATTGGGAATTATTAAATCTGTCCATGCCACGCAAACAAAGCCCAAATTCCATGCTCTCTAATCACCGATGTTCAAGAAGCTGTTAGCTCAACATTCTGACATCAGTGCGGTGAACGTTTGCAAATATGGTGCGCACTGTTAGCAGCATGATATTTTGGTTTCCCATCAGCTATATATGCTAAGGGTACAGGAAGAAGAGACAGTGCAGTGGAATAGTGCAATTATGCAGAAATCCACACTGATGACGTACCAGACCCAAAAGAAGGTCACTGCTGTCAAGCAGTTATGCGATAAAGGTATCAGCAGCACTTTGTTCTTTGAAGCAAGATCCATGATAGATTAATAGATCTAAAAAAAATCTATGATAACTCTTCGCGTATCTCTGTGTCGCTTTGACACCAGGATGGGAACACACTAAAACTTCGATATTACAAGGTTGCATATGTCACGAAAATAGGTTCGTTATATCCAAAAATTTGTTATAAAAGTATATTTCTAACACCATATCTATGCAAGACTAGTCCTCGTTTACTTCTTTATAATGGATACTTTGTTATATTGAGGTTTGTTATACCAATTATTGAGTTTATTGCAGATGAAGGCTTACTGAGCCCTGTACAAAATGATAGACGCGCTTTGCAGCATGTCCAGAGAGAAGCAACCAGTTGAACACAAAGTGCTTTTGGGCAAATGGTTTCATCTACAGTCCAAGGCAATGCGGCTGAGCTTTTTGAAACATTGGGAATAAGAGATGTTCAATGAAAATAGACAGCAGTTTATTGAATTGGCGGCCAAACTCAAGGCAGGCGTGAAACTTAGTCTTTCACTACGTAGAGTCAGTACCACATTAGGTGTTATGGCTATGCGGCACGAGCCGCTGCTTGGAACTCCGGCTGGAGTTCAATACGGCTACGGTTTAAGTTCGATAGGGCACAGCCCTAACAAAGTCCAACATTTTCTTCCTGTGTACGTTAAAATATTAAAGCTGCTAATGTGCATGTCCACATGCACTTAGTGTCCCCCTATAGCATTTTGTCCACACCCAACTTTTCACTGTATAGAAAGCCCTTTATGCTTACTTTCTTATTGTACCATCACTTGTATATGTCACTGTGTAGCATTGAGAAAGATAAGGAAATTTTATGATTACACAACAGTAATTCTTATCGTAGTGTTCAGTATCATGTGAAAACGCACAATTCATGCCATTGAGATTTACAGTGTCTGGCGACCCAGGAAATGTGCGTAGAGCTGTGCTCAAACCTAATATTAAGGAGTGTTGTAATCGTCCGCATCTTTAAAAAATTTTTTGACACAGTTTTTGCTAACAAACTGCCAGAGAAGCCTAGTGGTCTTGGTGTGCGGCTGCTGACGGACAGATGGCGGGATCGAATACTTGTCTTTCTACATAGGAGAAAATTCTCTCGGCTCATGTACTTAATTGAAGTCTCCAGGTGGTCAAAACTTTCGGATCCCTCCACTACAGCATCTCTCGTAATAATACCGTGGTTTGGGCCACTAAACCCAGTCAATTATTATTAGTTCTAGAAACGTGCCAGTCACGTTGAAAATAGAGATTGCATTGCATTAGCGAACATAATATAGTGTGGCAACAGGAAACCAACTTCAGGAAAGGAGACAGCGCTACCTTTGGATTGGTTTTATTGGAGATAGCTCAACATGACAAAATTGCAAGCTGTATCATACAACAACATTTTGCGATGCATTAGAGATGGGCATGTGATCCCACTTTCTTGTGGGATCGCAGTACGATATGGCATTCCAGCGAAAACAAAATTATCACGTTTGTTTCTCCTGGGATGCTATGGCATTTATTGAATTCAATAAAAGCAGTTTCAAATTGGCACATGCCTTTTTACTCTAGCCTCCTTGGCCCTCTGTACCATTTCTTGCCACGCCAAGTTGTTGGCAAAACCATGAAAACCCTCTATGCTTCACTTTTGCTTCACTCCATACCAAGACGTAGCAGTTGTAAGATCGACTTTTCACTGCAGTTCCCACAGTGGTTCCTGGTTGCAACACGATGAAATTTAGTTCAGACATAATAATGCTAATATACTGATGCTAATAAAAAGAGATCTTTCGATATTCGTTTTGGAAAACAATTTATTGGCAAACATATATACATTTGTGTAGAGCTTAGATGTCACCAGGTACTTGCAAGAACATTTACCTACACACTGAAGGAGAGGCCCGCGAAACTGATCGCACGTGTTCACTCATACAAATAAGATGGGCAAACATTTAACAAGACAGCGTGTAATGCGTTCTCATGAACAGACGCCGAAATGTCATTAACCTTGCCTGTAGAGCAACAAGAATTGGCTACACTGGGGGCTCCATACATGTTTAGTGGCAACCACGTAACGCCAATGAAAGCATGTCGATTTAGTGTCCTGTTCCATTTTTTTCCTTGTAACGAGACATCTGTAAACTTGTCTCATAGTTATGAAGTTTTGACATGGTTAAATTAGGCAGCACATCATGTGGGTGCTGTAGTGGCCAGCTCTGGATAAATTTTGACCATATCACATTGCAACACATGGTACGAGAGCGTTCTTGTAATCTTTGTTCATCAAAATGCGGCTGCCAGTTATCAATAAACCTGAAAACTTGTGCTCTGGCATGAAGAGCCATCAAAGCGTAAAGGGCCAGTAAACAACCCCCAAAGTCCGAAATTGGTGAGTAGATAACTGCGCACTCCTGCTGCTGCAAAAATTTTACAAATTACTGTTGTAATAAGGAGCAGTGGACAGAACAACCTTGTCATGGCTGCTTTGGTTGGTTTCGATTTCTTGCTTAGCCTCCCTACCCTTCAACGCTGCTCTAGAGAGGGGTGGGCGTATTCCATTATTGCCCATTTGAGCAAGGTAACATGACACCAGAGAGCTACATCATTGGCATGCAGATAATGACTGAGCCAGACAGCATGGTGGTAAGGCATTTATACTGCAGGCATGAACTTGGCTAGCATCAGGGGAAAGTTGTTGGTCTTCCAACTTTTTACTTCCATTTTTTTGCATATTTGGGATATGAAACACAAGTCTCACTCTTTTCAAATGTACAATTTAACACAAATAGGAGAATTTCCCCTATGTGTCTAGCGGCATCATAGTCGGCCGGCTTCGTATGGTTGTTGCCATAGAGTTTCACGGCAGTGCGCTAGACGGTAATCTGGCATTAGAGTCTATGAGAGCGGCATCGGGCTTTAGCTAGTATGGGAATGATTGATAGTACATGGATTTGCCTAAGCATCATAGTCTTGACTCTGTGTGGCTCCTTTTTCAACATGAAGCCACTTTCTCACAAGAGAGTTTGGCAAAAGATGAGCAGTCCTACTACACCGCTTTCACCCTTTGGGCTCACCCATTCAAATCAGCAAACAGAGTTTAGAAAAAGCCGTTGTCTTATTTAAAGTAGAACCCAAAATGCAGAGACAAATGAAGTCGCAAGTGCGTTTGAAGCCGCACACACTAAAACTAGACAAATTTATGCACTATCCATAATCCCCATGGTGGTTTTTGCAGCGCCACAGTTTCCTCTTGTAAATATTGCAAGAAACTGTACGGTTGCAGCTGTGCCCTGCCCATGCACCACAAGTGCATTCGATGCGATGCGCTCCGAGCAGCTGCTGCACTGACGAGGGTCTAATTCATTGGTCCTTTTCACCGCTGGAATAAGCGTGACATCTGTGTCAGCGTGCTGCCTCCAGGGCACTGATGAGTGGTGTGAAGTCGACGTACGGATCCACGCGACCATCTGAAACGGGCGCGGGGGACGGAGCCTCCTCCTCGCAGAGAGACACCACCTGCAGTGAGTGAGTCATGGACACACACACGTCTTCACTGCTCCCATTGTGCCTTAAGGGATTGCGCCTAAAGACTTTAGAGTCTTTATTGGTTTAAGTGAAACCCGCTGAGCTTATGTACATTTGTGTGCAGATTTCATGTATGCGGTTATTTTTCTAGTACGATATGGATTTAAAAAAAATGTCATCCATTACATGTGTCATTTCGGGAGCTACAGTCTGCCTAGATTAAGTTACAAAGGAAAGTAGTGACCTGTTATGAAAGCTGTAGTTGCCATGTGCTAGCCTTGAAATGCGAGCTACCAGCAATAAGTGTGTAGCTAAGGGCGTATGCTGTTTCATTGTCAATGAACAAGCTTGATATGGCCCGGCAAACCACTGCTGAAGGCAGTTCTAGCCTAACCAGGACTTCGAGCCAAGCCAAACTGAGATCATAGTCAACACAAACATGCACAAACTTATCGGTGTGAGTAATATTCTGCTTGAAAAGCAAGACATGCTGTGCGATCTACATTTTAAACTTCTGCTTTGGTAGCTGTTAACTGTGGATGAAGCCGAAGCAGCAACTTTTAGAGCTTCAATCAATAATAACGATTACTTTCGTGACAGTTGCACAGACTATTATCAGTTTCCGTGACCATGCTAGATTTTTCAGATATTCCACGACTATTCCCCAGCTTTTCCAGATGTGTCCAAATTTTCTGACTTTTCTAGACAAGTGAATAACAAACTCCACGAGTTTTCTTTCGTGTGCGTGCCTTCTCTAGGCTCATTTTCATCATACTACTCCTCTAAAAGCGCTACTCCTGTTCCCGCATGCTCGTTTGGTTACTTACCATGAGCGTAAGCTCGTGGGACCAGGTTGTCGGCAGCTCACAGCGGTCGAGCAGTTGGGATAACGCCTCTCGGGCTGTTCCAGGCTGCGAGGCTAGTTTTGCAACCAATCGGTTTGCCTCCTGCGTTTGTTCACACACGCGGTTCACACACGAAACAAGCTTATTCAATAGCATGCAATATTTATTTTAATGCAGATAAACACCATTACTGCAATATCCCGAACAAGTGCCCTCCCTTATGGTGAAAGATAATCCGACAAGATTCGCACGTTCATGGAATTAAATTAAAGATGGAGGAGGAAGAGCCACTAAGAATAAAATTCGCCACGTCGGGCTTCTATCGAAATGTTTCAATGGGAATGCATGCATTCGCTGTTTCCGAAATAGCGAATAGAACAGTGAAAATTGGAGGATGCATAAGCTTCACCTTCAAGAGTAAGTAATGATAGCGTAATTGGGCCTCGTGCGGATTACCTCCTGAACTGGTAACCTACTTCCGTTCTCAGTACATGCCTCAACGATAAATGCCTAGCACCCCGAAACATCTGTGCATCACCGAAAACACAGACTGTTCCCAGAAGCAGCAGAGTTTGGAGCTTACGCAGGTTGGGCTGTTGAATATTATAAGCCTGCAAGAACTGCAAGGAAGATGCCCTAAGTTGTATCGAGCGACATAAACAAAAGTACACACAGTAAAAGCTCGTCAAATTGATGCGCTTGTGGACAACCAGAACGTTGCACCGCTGTCCACCTCGCCATCTCCAACAGTTGGATCTGGCAGTCAGTAGCCTTGTTTTAACTTGATACCATGTGCACACAATGTCCCAAAATTCGGACACGGCGGGAGCTGTCGAAGACGAAGAGCTTTTAGCTGCAGTCGCTATGCTGGCATAAAGCTCGTTTGCTATGTCGTGATGAATAAACAATCTGTTGCTTGTCTGTGCGAAAGAACTATCGTCTCATCCACATGACGATACGTCGTAATGTAGGGTTGCAGAGCACATTTTGGGCTAACCATGTGTGGCAGTCTGGTGCCATGGTAGCACTGAGAACGAAGTTCGAACATGAGGAGAAGTGTTGTTCTTACACTGCTCTTATGCAAAGTACAGAATCCACATACTCTTCAAGAAAATGAAAGCGCACAGATGTAAAGACATTTATTTATTGTTTTCCCAATATTGTTTTCTCGACAACTCCAAATTCAGTTACTTCGGACATTTTTCTGGTTTCACGGGATAAAAATTAATGAGCTTTTACTGGACATTCATGAATATACAGTGCTAGCGTTCTGTTTAAACTGGCACGTCGATTTGTCTAGAATTCTTTCCATTGATATAACCGCACAAGTACGACTGGAATATACACACCTGGTTTAGCATTCCCGAAACGTTTAGGGCTTTACAAAGACCATCCGACAGAAACAGAAGCCGCCAGCCAGGCTCCACCTCTAGTGGACCACAAAATTCTGGTTCGTTGGACACCGGGTCAGGCCTGCACACGTGTGAAGACGCAACACTTCAACTCTTAAACTCTTTTCACCTAAATTATTCTGACGACATGGCTATCGGGATAGAACAAGAGCACACATATAGGGCTGCTAGTGCAAAACTATGATACTCAACAAACCAACGCAAATGCCTATCGTTAAATTGCGAGCAAGCACCCCCCCTCCCAATTCGATCCAATCCAATCTTGCTTTGCACTGCAGCCCGATTGTTTCACGCCATTTGATGCTTTGTGTTTGCGGTGAGAGGTCAGCTATGTCTAGCAGTCCTATGCAATGGCGAAGAAAATCAAGGTTATTCGATGGCATTGAAAAACAGAAAGAACGTGCACCAAACGCGTTGACAATTCAAGCTCGAATGGAAGCAGATACCGGAATAGGAGAGGAATTTTGATAACTTGCTGCAGCTAAAATATGGGAAGGCAAAACTTCGACGGAAGCTCAGTAATGGCGCACCAGGTATGGCGAACGTGTGGATGATGCACTCTTTGAGTACCTTGAGCGTGAAGGAAGTGCAAGACGTGCCGTTGGCAATAAAATTCTTTCCGAAGAGGTTGTCGAAATTGCCAGCAGCGTGCAGTTGGGAAACTTCGTAGCCTCCAGCCATTACGTAAATCGCTGAAAACAGCGGTTCGGCGTTGCAATGCACCGCGCTATGAACAAGAGCCAGAAGACGCCCGAGGAACTTACAGAGGCAGCAAGTGCCTTTCAGTTTTCCGCGGATTCGCTGGGATGGTGCAACGGCTACACCTTATATAACGTGAATCAGACGATGGTGCTAATAGACAACACGGCCACCAGGATGAACAAGGTGGTCGGTGAAAGCACCATACAGATTGCAAACACTGGATGGGCTTGGCGAGGCTTCACGGTTTGCCTAGCTGCTTGCGCCGCCGACCACAGGCTCCTGGCCACCATTATCTTCAAGGAGCAAAGCAGAAAAACTCCATCCAGGGCCTTTGCAAGCCTTCGCTTACCAGCTGAGAATTTTTTTTTTTTTTGTGAGGGCAAACGGTCGCATTGCCGCCGAGTTCGTTTTATCACAATGCTGACTTCTTTTGCCTTCATAACAAATGTTCCTCTCACCGCCACAAAAAACGGCTGGATGACATCACCGAAAATGCACAAATGGCTGCTGGGGCCTAAACGTCGATGACGTGCAAAGCTTAGCGCGTATCCACTCGACGAACTTCTCCCAGAAAATCTCTTCTGCAGACGATTGTTCCACCGACCGTCCGGCTGCCGAGAACATCCAGACGACTTACGAAGCGGGTAGACGGACGGGCGGGAGAAAAATTAATGGCAGCACTCTTTAAAGCGAGAGCTGCCCGCTTGAAATCTTTAAGCTCTTCGTCGCGCATGGCGTGGGCTGTTAGCCCGTGGCACGGATGGCACAAATCCGTGACGCAGGCCCACGTAATGCGCCGTCTGCAGAAAGAAAAGATGGATTCGCCAGAAAAGACTAAACTGCCTAAAGTGAGCAATTTCATTGCGTAACAATATACAGCACCTCTTTTAACAACCTTGCTACAATCATATTTTTCTCTACAGCAGCAGTAAAGTATATACAGTAGAACCCCGCTGATACGTTTTTCATGGGACCGTAAAAAAAACATAGGAGCCGGGAAGCGCAAGAGCCGAGAAACGCGAAAAATTGAGAAATAAGAGTAGTGGTGAACTGCACATAGTTTTATTTTAATTCTTTTGCTTGAAAAAATCATGCAGCGTTGCCTGGCACATCTTCTCACGCCCGACAAGCACAAGGGGTTTTTGAAGCACCTGTAGTGCCATGAGGCTCTCGCCATTGTCACTGGTGCGCACATATCTTCACAATAAATCCAGTGCCGCTACGACCGATGAGGACATTGGCTCCAGTATCTGCTCCACCTCCTCAACTTCCTCGTCACTGGCGCACTCAGCCACGATGTCGTCGACGGATAACATCACGCAGGTGACAACGGCCTCGTCAACAGAAGCGTAGTCACTGTACGCGATTCCACTGATGATTGATTGATTTGTGGGGTTTAACGTCCCAAAACCACTATATGATTATGAGAGACGCGGTAGTGGAGGGCTCCGGAAATTTCGACCACCTGGGGTTCTTTAACGTGCACCCAAATCTGAGTACACGGGCCTACAACATTTCCGCCTCCATCGGAAATGCAACCGCTACACGATTCCTCTTGGAAGCGTTGGAAGTGTAAAGGCACTATGCTGTACGCTCGTATAACCTGCGCAACGGCCGACATGAAACAAAGGCAATGCGAGAAGACCGCAGCAAGCACGGGTAGCATGGGCACACATGGGCGATGGTGATGGCGATCGGGCTATACCCTTTGAATCGGGCCGCCTGCGCGACCCGGTGGCAATAAGTTTAAGCCAGCGTGACATCCTAAGAAAATAAAAACAGGCCTCGGAGACCTTACTTTTACAGATGCCAAAACCAATTTTAGGGCCCCAACGCGTCATAGACACAATCTTTCTTAGAGTGCAAATACGGATCTCAAAGACCATGCTTCTGCTGGCATGAACTGAAAATACGTCATAGGTGTTGCCCCCGGCACTTTGGGCGGCCAATCCCATCGTCAAGCTGCCAAGCCAAGCTACACGAAAGACAACATGGCCGCTCGGGCCGGCGCGTCATGGCACTTTGCAACGTATGATGCGGGAACGGTCCCACAGTTGCGACGCAGCAGCGGGGTTCCCAATGCATTGGATCCTATGGGAGCTGTGCCGGAACCGGCCGAAAACAATGTAACAGCCAGGAAAACGCAGCACACGGGAACGCAACAGCGGGGTTCTACTTAATAAGAAAATTTCCATGCCTTAAGTTGCGCAAAGTAATATTCTTTCTCGCAAAATCATTAGAATTTGACAGTCTCTAATCTGAAATGATAATTTTAACACTGTGGTCATAAAACTTTCAGTGCAGAATTCATCTAACCACAGTAATGATGAATGCAAAAAAATAAAGTCAACATGTACGTTTTTCGCAAACATTGATGTTGCCACATGCACATGTGGTAAAGCTTAAACCACACACAAAAAAGTTTGTGGTTTAAACCACACACCACCGCGCGATACCCAAAGTCAGTGCTCACAGCCGTCATTGTGCAGCGAGTGTTGCTTGTGCTTTGAATTTACATCTTGCTGTGCACAAGTTCGTCAATAACGAGTTTCACCTTTGACTGTCTGTCACTTTCTCCTAACAAGCACGACCATGTGACAGTACAGTGCATGCATGTTTATAAGAAATATCAAATAGAGTATAGAGTTTTTTGTGTCTGATAGAATTTTACTTCATTAATTACTTAATGTGTGTGCTTTGAAAGCCAGTAGAAGTCCTATTCATACATACACGCAGGAAACAGCCCAGCTATTCGAATTTTGTCGACCAATAATGAATAGAGGAATTCCCAGCCTCGCGTACACAGAAGTCAGGCGAACGGCACACAGTAATGCACAAACCCGTCGGGACGCCGCCGGCGTGGGTGTGCACCGAGGCAACGGGTGACGGGAACGACTTCCTCGGTGAGGGCGTCGGTGTCCACTCCAAGACTAACGAGGCGGGCCAACTCATCTGCATTGTCTATACTGTGCTCCACCGTCAGCAGCTTGGGCTCTTCTCCTCCCCGTAGCAGCAATACCCGCGTGCGTCCTGCAATTGGAGGTGGCGAGAATTATGCGATCGTCCAAAAGAGATTCCGCGACCTGTGGCCCACGTGGTAGTATTGTGTGGCTCCTGGCATGGTTTTATGTATCCCCCCTCCCCCCTTGTCAATCCCCACCTGTAGGCTGACATGGCATTTTTGACTTTAAATGAAGTTTTCGCTTGCGAATAATGTTTGTAAGTTGAAACCTTGTGACAGGTGTGCTTGAAGATAAACATGATTTCTATCGCCGGTCATTTATGTAACTGAAATTATTTATCTCGGCCTGCAACGAGACCCCCCAACCCCTATTGGCCCTGTAACCCCCACCGTGTCCACTACATGAGACTCAGCCCAACGACTCGAAAGGTTGCCAACCCTTGGTTTGAAAGTATACATAAGGTTACGTACAAAGAGCAACTACAGCCTTTGTTTTGTGCTGTGACGGCATATCGAACTCTGTGCACATGTTGAATTGAAACATTACAAAATATCTATAAAAAGTGGTTAGAAGCCCCAAAAGGGAGTTCGAGATGTCGTATAGACTTGGTAGCTTAACATACATAAGTTTTTTTTTTTTTTTATGAAGTATGAGTTGCATTCCTTACATGGAAGTTATTCGATTTTGAGGGCAAACTGCATATGAAGACTCAATGGGGCATTGAGCAACTGGCAACATCAGCAGTATTACGATACACTCAGCGGTCTCTAATGCACTGAGCAATGATGTGCTAGTTCGGTTGTTATCACATTTATTATGTCGATGATCTCGGCATTGTCATTGTGGCGACTGAGGTGTAGACTGGCTCGACGCCTGGCAACCGCTCCGCTTCCATTTTCAGGTTTGGTATGTCTCGAATACTCGGTTGCGCTCGGCCACGCTGAGTGGAACGAATTGTCTTCCACTTGTCACTGTGCGATACTTCGGAGCAATTACACGGCAACATGTCGTAAAAAATTTGCACTGCTTACACTAGTGGCAGTTCAAGTACCGCAACAAGGAATGTCCGTTGGGGACAGCTCCCAAAAGATCATTTGTAGAAGCTTCCAGGAAGGACTGCACATTCTATTCATTTCTGTTGTCCATGGGTCTCCGTGACGCATAAAATGTTTGCCTTGCACACCCATAAATAAGACGCACCAGCACCGACATCTGGCTCAGATGACTTGCGCAGTGTAAATAGTGCGTATAAGTGTTTCATGAGTTTGGTTTGCTGGTGAAATAAGGAAAGGCCGGCAGACCACAAGAATCGGCGATGCAAGAATAACTATGAGCAATGCAGATGGCCATTGCAAACGCTCGTCATTGAATAAATCGCTTCTTCATGGCGACTACTGCTTAGCTTTCATGTTGGCTTCACTTCTTAAACCGATGATACTATGCAACAATAATGTAATTATACCTGGGGTGTGACATCCTGAAACCACGATAAGTTCATGAGAGGCGCCTTAGTGAAGGGCTGCATAACTTTTAACCATCTAATGCTCTTTAACATGCACTGACATCGCACAATACACAGGCCTCTAACACTTCGCCTACGACACAATGCAACCGCCATGGCCAGAATTGACACCGCCCCGCAGCTTTTGGGTCAGCACAGCGCCATAACCACTGCTTCAACACGACAGACACTTTTTTTTTTTTTTTACAGAGGTAAACACTTCACATTATAATGGGTACTTGGCAGGCAGGTGTATTGCAGAAATTTCGCCAGGAGAAAATGCCAGCTGCATCACACCCTAAATGATACCACTGCACACCCATCGTTACATTGCGCACAAATGCGAAATTCGAATACAAAAGGAGCCTTTTCTCAATGTCACTAAAATTTGGGTGCACACAATCTTACAATGCTTAACCACAGTACAGCACCATTTTCCTATGATGTAGGGTGGGCACTTCGAGGCTATTTGCAACATGCTAAAATTGCTTGTACTCAATGATGATAACACTACTCGCTACATATTTTAAGGCAATCTTGATTTCACTTCAGGATCATCTACCTGAAAGCTACCAATTATGGCTCTAATGTCACAGTCGCTGTTCTTTTAAAGGTCCAATAGGTTCAAACGTTACAATAGGTCCGTCAAAACCACGTTAACAAGAAGCATGCACCCACCCAGATTGGCAACGTACAGCTGATTGCCATTCATGACGACTGCAAGAGCCAGAGAGCACCCCGATGACAGCTCTGCCTCGAGGGCAGCCAGGGATGCTTCTCCGGGACCCTGTAACAATAAATACAGTCAAGGTCAGACAAGGCAGGCCTCACTAGCAGCCGTGAGCAGCGCAGCACTCGCGATGATTTTCTTTTTTTCAATATCTCAAAGGACCCCAAGACAACCTCCAGCAATCTTTTAACATGTCAAGCAAGCGCATGAATTGAGTTCAAAGCGCGGCCGCAATTAGCAGTGCCAAATGCAGCAGTGCTAAATGTTGCAGGTGCACTGCAAGAAAACATTCCCAAGTCTTCTACAGGCATTTCTGTATGCCCAGCATTGGCCGTGACATCAGCACTTGTGTCAGGTCAGGTCAGCAAAAAGAAGCGGTTTGCCTGCTCACAGGTATGCACACTCGGCATTTTTCTTTCTTAAGCAGTAAGGAGCAGCGCTCAGCCAAGAGGAGAAACAAACTAACAGATAGAGCTTAACGAAGAAAAAGAGCCAGCCAAGGGCCACTTTTGGATAATCAAGTGCACGTAACTCCACTATTACGGTATCTTCTTCAGAAAAAATTTCGTGTCTACGTTTTTGTTGCTGACTTGCGCATAACTGCAACCCTAGAACTGATTTTCAATCACTGGGTGGTTTGGGGAGTCTTTAATATTTCACGAAGCATTGAAACACAGTTGCAATATTATCTGGGGTTTTATGTTCTAAAACTAAAATGCAATTACGAGGCATACCATAGTGGAAGGCTCAGTAAGTTTAGACCTCCCGCAACTCGTTAATGTGGACATACGTCGCATTGCACGAGCTTCGCGCATTTCGCCAGAATCGCGAGCCAAAATTGAGAATGCCACCTTAGGGACAGCAGCTCAGCACCGTAACTACTGAAGCACAGTGGCAGCCATTAAAACACTTTAATAACATTTAAAAAAAAAACAATGCTTATCTAGGGCGGGGCACGCGTACCAGACATTATTCGAATGCTTGCTCCTCACTACCTTGTAAGACACCCGCTTCAAAGAGTTGGTTCAAGCACATGACAGTAAGAAAGAAACCGCAACAGGCAGAATGCCGCTGTCAGCGCAGTTTGAGAAAAGAATAACAAGGGAGCTGGGGAAGTGCAGGAAATGCATTTCAATCTTCAATCACATCAAGTGTTTTAAAAAGGTTTCTTAGGGAATGTAGGTACTCCTCGAAAAGTGCGCTGGTTGCGAGTTATTGCTTAGTTTTAGGGAAACAAGTGCAATGGCCTCTTTAAACTCCTGCAACATCAAAAGATTGGCCACATTCTGTATGCAATGGCAAAATTAAAGTAAGGTGAAATTTTTCTGCCTCCATGGTGTAGTGGTCTAACCTGGTCAGTAGCTCGGAGCAGTTCATCTCGCCGACTCAGTGTTGGCTCCAGGCTCTGTAGCCAGGCATCGTGTACAGCTTGTAGACTGGAACACAAAGCTGCCTGTACCTGGAACCAAGGTTTGGTTACATTTCAGGTTTGTGGCTGGCACCCTGACGATTGTTATAGGGCAAAACCAGAACGGTGACAAAGAGACAAAAAGAAGACGACGACCTTTGTCACTGTTCTGATCTCGCGCTATAGCAATCCTCATGTCATGCCAACTAGTCCAAACTGCCACGCTTTTATGGCACCCTGAACGACAATATATTGCCCCAAGTGCTCCTTTCTTCGTATTATTTTGTTGGAATCTTTCCCTTGAAATCCAGTCACTTATTCATTTTGACCAGCAGTTATCTAGCCCACACACTTTATTTTCTGCACATTTATATTTCTTCTTTTTGATTTTGACGAACATGCCCTTAACACCAGTTTGTTCCGCAACTCATTCCACTGTCTTCTTGCCCCTTAACCTTACTCCGGTAATTTTTATTTTGATGGCTCCCTTCATCATCTTCGGTTCAAGTCTAATACTTTTTGCAAGCCTCCAGGTTTCCGACCTGAAGGTCTGTACCAGTAAGAGATAGCTGTTATATACTTTTATTTCCACGCATAGTGGTAAACTGCCGCTTCAGATCTCACAGTGACTAGCAAACGCACTGAAATCCATTGTTATTCTTCCAGTTATTTCATTATTTGGTTTGGCTCTACAGTCATTACCAGTCCAAAGCAGACTTACTGTTTTACCACTTTGATGCTGTATTCCGTCAATTGTGAATTACCCCGACTTGCTCTAAATTTTCTCGTAGAGCAACAAAGTACTGACCAGCTCTGGCTCGGAGGCCTGTGCAAGACGCTTGGCCAGCTCTCGAGGCAGCCGACGTCCTACAAAGGGTACCAACCACCGTGGGCTGCCCATCGAGGTGGCACAGAGCAGGCAGCTCACCCGGGCATGGTCGTTCTTCACCCTGTGCGCACCCACAACATCAAGTTTCTCACAGGTAACACATTCTGAGCTAGTCGCTTAACCCTAAGGCAAAAACAGCACGCACTAAGGCAAAAACAGCACGGAAGGAACAGCGCCTGTGTCCTGTGTTCAAGCAACTACTCGGGGAGCTGCGAAGACAAAATGAACTGCCTGCCAGTTTTGTTGAACACAATTGTGGTACATTCCTGTTAAGTGATTACCATAAAAGGCCACACCACTTTGCGTATGACTTGTCCATAGTAATAAATAAAAATTGCTGCATTCTGTCCGAACTTCACATATACACTCTTTTGAGCATGCTTTGCAGTTAAGCCCCTCTGAAACAAAAGATCCAATTGATTGTACCATACACTACTTGCAGAAGGTGTATGCTATGCAATAAATCAGTCGGTCATTCAATCAATTGATCAGAAGTTCTATCCATGAAGCCTTCTACTCGAAGATGCACTTCTGAAAACTAGATGCAGGTTGATATAGGAAGACGTACATCGATCGCAGCTTCAAACATAAATCAAAAGTCGGTTCATCTGCGTCTTAAGGTGCTGCTTATATGAGTCCTTAAGACATACATCTCTGATGACACTACACTTATAAGCTGCCCAAGGAGAGATTGCATGTTGCATTCCCGAGTAATCTTGTATAATCCATATTATGATCAGCTTTCTTTTGTATTTCAATTTACACCAATGTACACACAAATTCAGCTACCCTAAGAGGCTACAATCGCATGGGTTGCTGGAATGCCAAGACTGTGACTTTCATGTGCGAACATTTTCAACCCCAAGAACGTTGTTGATAGGCGCATACCCTTCTCAGAAAACAAAAAAAGCATTCTCACCGAAACTGGAGACAGCGGTTGCGAGACTCTCCTGCCACGTGCCACGAGCCCCACGTGTCTGCCGCTGGTAGCTGCACACAGCCGAAAGAAAAAAAAAACGAAAAAAAAAAGGCTGGCTAAGATTACATTAGGAGTGCACATGAATCAGTTGCTAGCGAGCATCTAGTCCCATTTGCCTTGCCTCTCGTTTTACCATTTCAGGCGATTTGTACATATTTCAGTACGCGAGTGCGTCGCACGGCGTAGTTCCGATCGCGATCGAGTTTCTTCGTAGCGATTGGCTCATCCCCCCCAAGATGCGAGAGAGAGCCAATCGCGGTCGAGGAATTCGATCCCGATCGAGGTTCGATCGCACTAGGATACTGAAGTGCCCGTGTAAAACGCACCTTGAAATGATGCAAACGACTCAAATAAATCTGTGTTTTTCCCCTTCGGAAGGCATAAGCCACAAACACATAAAAAAAGGTAAACAACCTCTGTCATCGAGGATGATCACCTGATGCCGAAGGTGTCGATGAGAGAACTCACCATGTCGTTGGAGCCATTGCGCCCTGAGGAGCCGGACCCATCGGTGCTCTCAGAGCGGACCGGCATGTCCATAGGAATGAAGGTACACAGTCGAAGAGAACCGATCAAGAACTAACGTAAACACGGCAACCGGACCTAGCACACGCACACGGAAGGACGCACTCGATCAGCCGAAGTAGGGTGGCTAGAATGGGTCCTAGCCGAAGTACGCGGCGGTACTGCTTTGGGCTACGTTCGGCTGCGCACGGCCAGCGGCCTTCGAGATTCTCTACACTGGACAGGTCACGATCACGGAAGTCGTGCTGAAGCGCCACGGCGAACACAAGTTGCTACCAGGTGCTTGTACTTGCTTTAATTAGCCTTTATGTTGTTCCGAGGTTGGCTGGCTGCGACCTGCACGACGCAACACTTCGTATTATGGTACACTGTACTTAAGTGGCAGAGTTGTAGTTCCAGCTATGCGGTGAAGCCCCGCTGTTTTGTAGCCGACAGACGTGTCCGTGAGACACCGGTATCACTGTGTCGCAGTGGTATTCACCTTTTCATAAATGCCTCCCTGGGCGCCGCCATAGCCCTCCTTGGGCTGTGCGAATTGGCGCGTCCCCTCGAAAATGCACTGGAAACACTGCGCCCTCAGCCCTTGTACTCCCGCGCACAGCCCATCATGGTGCTGTTTTTTTCCTTCCTGTGAAAAGATGTTTAGCCAGCGGTGTGCTGCACATAGTGTCTATGCTCCTCCGCGCCCACTACCGCGAATTTCGTGTTCACCATGCCAGAGCAAAAAACGATAATTTCGATGAGGTGCCCCCCTCCCCTCCCCCGAAAAGTATCTCTGCCTGCTTTCCCAGCTGCTTGAACGGTACTGTAACAGTAGCAGTAAAAGAGCAACAGTGTTACAGTACAGCTAGTTTACCTAATCTAGAAACAAACTTTTATGGTTACTGAGCTTCCAATACTAGCGTTTTTAGCTAGTGTGTACAGTAAGATCGTTACTTTACTAAATAAGTATTATACATAGTAGATCGCAAACCAAAGGTTTATGTAATTAAGAACTTAACGACAATTATGACTCACACCTACAATGAGAATCCTCGAGGTGGCTTGATTTTGCGAAAAGTTCAGCGAATGCGCATGGCTCAAGAGGACGTGGTTTCACGTGAAGGTAGTGGGGGAACTTTCACGTGGCCCAGATGATGGAAAGGCACACCTTTTCTTTTGTCGAATAGCAGGTTGCCGCCTTAAATAGCGACCGGCTAGCGTAATTTATAACGCTTTCCGATCTGTCAGTCCTCAGCACTAGGATACTGACTCTAGACGAAAAGCTCCCCTAGGTTCCATGCATTAAAATCTATGAATCACAGTGTTGATAACTATATTCCATAACAACTAGAAGGACATACCCGCCGTTTTAATGCCTGCCAAATTAATTCTTTGATGTGCACCCAAATCTGACCACACGGGAACAACGCATTTTCGCGTCATGTGCAGGGGGGTGTTATAGATTTGGACATTACAAAAAAAAAACAAAAAAAAAACATGAAGGCACCGGCCTGGGTAGCCAAGGGGTGGGGAGGGCACATCGGGAATGCGCTCACCCCCGAATTTTTTTTTTTTTTTTGCCATGGCATATATAGCGCAAAATGACAATTTGCCCGCACGCCCCTCATTCTAATCAAGGTGCCCCGTCTCCTCCAAAAAAAAAAAAAAAAAGGTATTAAAACGAAAACTTCAAACTACGCCCCTGGCGATAGCAAAAACCGGTCGAGATATATGCCCATATAATTGCTATCGCTCTAAAAACGAAACGGCTCTCGCCTTAGAGTCTCTTAGGCGTATGCTGCATGAGGTACCATGTAAAGTTTTTTTTTTTTTTTTTTTTAGCGGCTTGCTAGAGAACACTATAGGGGGTATTTAGGAGTGTAGCCAGAACGCCCAAGCCACCTTTTGTGTCAACAATGTGGCTTAAGAACAATGTATTAAGCCACATTGTTGTGTGTTAATCTTATTTTCGTAGTTGTTATTTTTATGTAAGCATATATGTTACCCTGTGGGCTCCCCTCGGCAATAATGCCATCGGGTGCTGCAGGCAACTTGAATGAATAGATAAGTAATTAATTAACTGACTTTCTATACGATCGCGCACTGAACAAATCATTGAGTATTTATTGGCTTTTGTACGATAACACGTAGTCCGGTACAAACACCTTGTAAAATAGGGACAGATAACCAACCTAACCTCTTTTATTTTTTTATGTGGAGTTTAACGTCCCAAAACCAAACTACCCGAACCTCAGAGGATTGAAACACAAAGGCTATTAAAGGAAACTGCGTGGAATAGCAGCTTCGTTCATTGATAACCTGCATCAGAAAACGAATCGATGGTTTAACGCACCGTTTTGTGAATCGCGCCCCGAAACTCTTCCCCTTTATATACGACAATGTGAATTAGCATTGTGCTTGCTTGAGCTCGTTGGTATCGCATATCGAGGGTGTTCCAGCCAACTTGGTTCCAGTCCGCTTCGGTGGCGGTTTCCCACTGAGTCAGACGGCAGTACAACGTGACTAAGTAAATAAGCAACTAAAGGTCGCCATGTTTGGGGTAAGACGCGTGACTCGGTATATATGTTGTTGTTGTTGTTGTTGTTGTTGTTGTTGTTGTTGTTGTTGTTGTTGTTGTTGTCGTCGTCTTTATTTCAGACAAATGTATGTCTCGGATACAAGGGCAAAGGGCAGATGTTCTCTGCCTGACGGGACCCAAGTACCCGAAAGCACCACTCAGAGCATACAATATAAAAAGAAATACAATATAACACACTAATAATGCATGTGTAACATTCTTTTTGTACAGAGTAAATGGAGTACATACTTGTACAGTAATAATAATAAAAAAAAAGATTCCATGCGTGCGTTCGTGCAGCGCGTCCACGCGTTGTGCCGGCCGACTGCATCTCGCCGTCTCTCTGAGATCCCCGAGAATAAACGCACTCGTGAATTGAATGCAAACGGGCCGCGCGAATGTCTTTGCCATCGTAATGACGAACCCGTCGACAGGATGGACCAAAGATCTCGGGCGGGCGCCGGGCCGATCGAGGCGTACGCCAGCCCATCACAGAGCCCATCCAGCTCGAACTTTAGCAGCCGGGGACGAAAATAAATTGCGCGTCTTAGCTTGGATCTACTGACCGAAAGTTACCTCGACGTAAATGTGGAAGCATTGCCGGCGAAGAACAGAGTGGCGGCTCGCTTAGGAAACGAGGCAGGAGCGGCGAGACTGTGGCCCGTATTCACAACTACTAATTACAACTTACTAACACAGCGGCTACTACTTCAATTTATACAACGTTTGCTAATTACACAAACTGTAGGTAATGCAAAAGAAAGTGCTCAGGCAATTTGAGAATTATCCAGGTGAACCAGAAGACTTACCAACAAACCTGTTCTTTATAAGGCATAATTTGCTTAAAGCGAGTAAGTTATACAAATATAAACTCCTCCTGCACGTACATAATCTCTTAACGTGTACAAAATTAGCGAAGGCCGACCCTCACTTATAACATACCCGTGGTAATAAATCATGTGTCTTCCCAAATCACCTTCGATGACTCACTCTCTAAGTTTAAAGATGAAATAAGACTTTTGCCTCGTAAACGAATGCACAGCCGTTACAACATAAGCTCATTTGTACCACTAAATCATTGTTTTTTGCATTATTTCACTTTGTTATTACCTGTGTGGAGTGAGGATTGCATTATCTGAATGTGTATTTTCTTCTATACGATTTGTTTTGCTTTGATGTTTATCTCTATGTAATATGCATCTTGCCATACTTGGGCATTTTCGTTGTATCTTTTTTTATATTTGTGCGTCAATGTACTTCAGTTTTTAAGGATGAAGTTATTAAGTTACACCGCTCTTTTTTTTTTTTTGTGACTGTCAATTCGCTGCTGCCTGAAATTTTCCCTGGGTCCCTGCAATTCGTTCTTCACAGCTTCTTGCCGGGGGCGAACCCCAACATTTTTGTGTTGGAAGTAAATTTCAAGTTCCAAGCATCTTATTCGTATCTGATTTTTTTCCTTAAGTTTCTGCACACTCTATGTGTGTTATAAGAGCTCAAAATCGATAATCGTTTAAAAGATAAGTGCAATGTTTATCTGCCAAATGCTCACCCACTTCGTTTCTGAAACTTACTAAAGGCACTAAACAGATACAGCAAAACTCGAGATAAAGATAAGGTTGTTTTGTGAACATGAGTGTGTGGGTCTGGAGCGGCCAGTGCCAAGCGCCTTCGCGTGCTCAGTTTCCCGCAGCAGGTGCAACAATAGCGAGGCGAAGGAAAAGCGTTTCCGCCTACGCATAGTTCCGTGTTTTTGCCGCCCCGAATTTGATGCCATTTTCTTTTTTCCGGCATGAAGATTTTATTTTTCCTCACGCCTTAGAAATAAACAAAATCCGCCACACGGATTTTAATGTGCAATTTCACGTCATTTATAGTTTAGATGTTTTGTTTTTTTCTATTACTTCATTTGTAGCGTGTCGCGACACCTTACGCACAGGCTCGCGCTCGGCTTCGCGAACGTGACAAACGGTGAAAACAGACATTTTGCTGACCGAACTTCTTTCACAGCTTCAACAGCTTTGCACCTGATGTGTGAAGCACAGTGTAGAAAGGTCTGCCGAAGGATCACGACAACGCTAGTACCAACATCGACATTCTCAAAAGACGCTGAACTGCTATATATATAGAGCAGACTTCAAGGACGAGAGACTCGTTCGCTGGATTCCGTGCCGACCGGTCGTGCCCTCGCGATCTCCGACGACAGTGCAGCTCTGGCCGACTGGGCTGGTCCTACGCCACCTCCTGCCGCTGGTCCCCTACGACGACGACAGCGTAGCTCTGGCCGACAGGATTAGCCCTACGCCATCTCCTGACGCCGACAAGAGCTCTCGCCAGTGGTGCCCCATCCTCGGACTCCTGCAACCGTCTCCATCTTTCCTGTCTTCTCCTTACTTCCGTCGTTCGCTGTCCCTGCGCCTCACTCTTTCCTCTCACTCTATCTTTCGGCCTTTTAATCCTATCCTTTTAATCCCTCCTTTACCGCCACCCCTCGTGAGCTACTGTTGAGGTGTCCTCTCCTTGGGAGACAGTTACGGGGCTCACTTTTCTCTTCTTTTCACTTAAAATCACTCCCTCACCCCCTCAAGGACGAGAGACAAGAAAATGCGACACACGCACTGAGCGCCAACTTTCAATTGAGTTTTTAGTAAATAAACACATGAAATATACAGGTAACAGCTTACCTGCGCAGCTTTACAGCTTTAATGAAAAGTTATGTTCAATATTTTTAATAAGGAATCTTTATTTATCTTTAAAATTTTTCTTGTACAAAAATTCTGTTGGAAGTTTGCGCTTCTGTGAGTCGCATTCTTTAGTCTTTCGCCCCTGAAGTTTGCTCTGTATGGCATTTCAATGGAGTACTAACTATAGCCCAAACATGCACCTTCCGAAATACATTGTATAGTTGTTACGGTGGCTTGTCTGGTCGCGGGATCTAATCCTGGCTGCGGCGGCTGCATTTCCCATGGAAGCGGAAATGTTGTAGGCCCGTCTGCTCAGATTTGGTTGCACGGTAAGGAACCCCAGGTGGTCGAAATTTCCGGAGCCCTCCTCTACGGCGTCTCTCATAATCATATGGTGGTTTTGGGACGTTAAACCCCACAAATAAATCAATAAACGGTAGATTAACATGATCACTGCACTTGTTACTATCTTCTAACACCTGCGGCGAGAGACTGCCACTTCGCACACTTGGTGGTCCTGTACCGTGCTGTCAGCAAAGTACTACTATATATACTCCATGTTCCCGCATGTAGAGATGACTATGTCCGGATTTCACGTCGCCAGTACGGAAACCACTGCGACGCGCTTATGACGGTCTATACCACGTCATGCATCCATCGCGCGGACAAGCATTTTACATACAAATACACAGCATGCGTTCCTGGTATAAAGCTCCCTCATTCGTTATGATATTGAAACATGCGCTGTGCACAATTGCGACGACACGTGTGTTTTTGTTTACATCGATCTGTATAGCGCTCACCTTTCTGTTTTCTTCGCCGTGGTATCGTCGGTGACACAACGGAAGACAGGACTTTCCCACCATATTGAGAGAAACTCCTTCGGCGCGCGCGAGCTGGCAAAACGTTGCCCTCCGGCAGTCGCAAACTGCCATCTGCTGCTGTGCCCTAAACACGGCGGCTCGTTGTAGTTCATGTAAAGGGTGCTTGGGGGCGCCCTGTTACACGGGAAAAGCCGCGTGTTCAATGAAAGAAAGAAAGGAAAAGTGCTCCAGGTCACGAGGCACGCGTGACGTATTTTCTTTGCCCCTGTCGTCCCTCCCTGTTTAGCTTCCAGCGCTTTCGCCGGGGCGAGAGGGGAGGGAACGCAATTTCAGCGTGCGACAATTCTTTAACTCCGCTCGTACTGGACGAATTCTTAATTTTTTTTGCGGTGTTGAATTCGTAAGGCAATAAGCTATTTTGGTGAATCTATCCCATGGTTACTTGAAAAGTTGTTTCAGGGCCCCTTTAAGGTAGCACCTGTTTCATGGCCATCCTCCATGGTGGATTCCACCACGTATACTGAGGAATAAACAACCAACCAACCAACCCCCAAACTAGAGCGTTCATTCTCTCACTGTTTCTCGTACACCCTAGGCTGCTGAATGTAAATTTTGGTTTAGTGACGGCAGCTTGGTTGTCTGGCAGCAGAACGCTGAACTTCACTAGGACCCGGACTTGGGGAGAAAAAGGGCCACTATATTTTAGAGCAGGAAAAAAAAAAGAAGTTTCATGTTTCCATGATCCACCTCAGTCCTTTCTTTTCACTCATCGGCAGTAGTGCTCTGTATCGAAGATCTTGTGGACCACCGGCATGCGATGGATGTTACGCCGTCGTCTCTTTGGCACTGAGTTTAACGGCGGCATAGACACCTGTTTGTTTGCTCAGTACGCTGGTGATGTCACGCACAGAAACCGACTTCTTCAAACGACTCGTTCGCTCTTGTATAGTGTATATGCACAGGCACACGTAAGTATGAAGGGGTTGGGGTGGGGGGCAGATGAGGGCTACACTGTTTCATTCTGGAAGGGGTTCACTAAGTCTTCGTTGTGCTTTTACTCAACCGTCCGCATACCATCATTGATTATAGTGGTGGGTAGTGACCATGCAGGGTTTCTTACTTAATTGGCAGCCCGTGGCCCCTCATGTTGCTTCCTAAAAAACTGACGAAAAACCCTTGTTTGAGCCACCGCCAAGTGGTCTTGTCTTCTTCAAGGCCGAATGGCGGCTTTCGGCGTTATCTATAAAATACTTACTTGTAATTTATTAATATTTTCATTTGCAATATATATAATATTTTCATTTGCAATACTGCCAGCCTCTAGTGAGACGATAGCAGGTGGGAACTCTGTACAGATGTTATAATTGCTCATCATAGTAAAAAAAAACTGTAATACAGAACATAAAAGCAACATCAACCTGGCACTCTGTACATTAGCAATATTTACACAACGTAATAAACAAAATACAAGTGCATACAAACTTCCGTATTCATCGCATTTTGGTTCAATTTGGATGAGGTGTCAAAACCAAGTGTCATAACAGTGGCCCTAGCAAAGCACCCTGTTTAAGGGTTTTTTTTTTTTTACTCTTCAAGATGGCCTCCATGTCTTTTTTACCATACTGCTGCTTATTCAATCCTCACGCTTGCAAAGCCTGGAACTAAGGGTAAGCCATTGTAAGAAGCGTCATCGCTTCGTGTTCGTTCAAGCGTTGCTTCCGAGACTTGGTTTCTTTCGAATTCGGCCAATAAGGGGGTGGGGCACTCCTCTCCCCCTTCCCTTCGAAAGGAGAACCCAGCACAACCATATGACCGTATGCCCTCATTCTGTTTCGGGCGCGCCAGCCCAAGCGACTTCATCGTCCTCATCGGTGACCACCGCCGAAGTGAAGGGAATCCTGTCGCAGTTGTAGCGGCACCCGAACCGAGTCCACGGGTTGTCCGAGACGTTCGCGGGTCGCACCGTACTTCGAAATTCGTTCTCTTTGAGAACACTCGCCAGGCGGTCCGGTCTGTTGGTGACTATGGCGTCCACGCCTCGCCTGCGTAAGAACAAAACGTAAGAACAAAACGAAAGAAAGAAGAAGACTTTACAGCAAGTCTCATACTCGAGCATTCGATGTCGAGAGCCCGATTTACGCTACATTGGTAAACACACTTGTTATACAGTTCTCGCAAGACAGAGCAAGTTGTACTGTGAGACCCGAATAACCATAGCGGCGTCAGTTGATTGCATTCTTCTCCGTACCCCAACAGGCACACATGTTCACTGATGGTGCTATATTCTCTCTTTCGTTCTTTTCTTAAATCCCTTCGTTCTTTCCCTCCAGTGCAGGTTAGCGAACCGGACGCGCATCTAGTTGACCTTTCCTGATCACATCACAAGACGATGTCACCATACGACGTCACTAATGTTTAAGATCTGTGCCTTCATGATGGTATTGTAGCATCACTCATGATGGCACACGGTGACGTCACAACATCACGTCATTATTCGCGAAGCTATAACGTGGGTTTTTGTACCGCTTCATTCGCTTGCTGTGTTTTTTGACACTTAAAGCTTTCGCATTGAGTATTTCAGCTTTCTCACCAAGTGTCCCACTTCTGAGCACCCCAAGTTAGGATGCAGGAATTCAGATTCATTATCCCGCGAAATAGTGACAACGGCTTACGAAATGGCAAACCTATATATAGTGTTGAACATAATGCAAGAGCGTTATGTTCGGGCAAGTTAGTACGACGTTGTCAGTGTTTTGAGGCTAAATTATGATCTGGGAGTTTAGCGGGACTCAGCCACAGTAAAAGAAATCAACGGTAGGAGTAGGTTGGAAGACAAGGTTACAGGGGGTCTCCCCTTCTACCACCGTTTCTTTTTACGCTATGTTTGTTCTGCTAGACATTCAGAACGTCGAACGTGTATCGCACTGGCGATTCGAATTCGCACCTTAGCGCCAGTCGTAGGTGCTTCGGCATATCGACGGTCCACTGGTACGCTTTCTCGATGAAGTTGGACGGTTCCCCGGCGTCGCGGTTCTCGATGATGCTGTTGATCCTCCAGGACGTGCGTGCGTAGGAAATGCAGTTGGTGGCGCCGTCCCCTTGCCACCGATGGCCGTCAATGTGGAGTTCCCGGTACAGGTTCTCGATGGGGTCCAGCTCACTGTTGCCGCTCACATCGAAGCCTGCATGTTATGAGTGAGATGGGAAGGGGAGATATCCCTACTGAAACGTTCCGTATGCGAGTCCAATGATTCCATATGTTTCCATAAAGAATGCATGTTTCCCATATATTTTTCATATATTTCCGTAAGATTCTTACGGAAACATACGGAATTATTGGACATCGCATACGGAACGTTTCAGTAGGAATGTATGTCTCATTTTCGTTTAATCCAACTAGTGTTCGTATTGCGGCCGTACCAGATAGTCGTGTCGTTACACGAAACAGTCCATTTCAGTGAAAAAGTGGAAACCAAATGCAAAAAGAAAGTACACAATACAGTCTAAAAGGCATCGTGTCTTAGATTCAAATAGCACATAAATGCAGTACAATATAACTGTTTACAACCTAACAATCTATGATAGAACACGGTCTTAATCAACATTAAAATTGGTATGAGTAATGTGAAAAGAAGTAACATCAAAATTGTTTTGGGAAATTTATTTCTTTATTCAATTACCGTGGAAGCTCGAAGGCTTTGCGGAGGGGTGGGATTACATACGATGGCCACGGTACAAATGTAAAAAAGAGTACTAAAATATTACAGATGCAAACAATAAAAGCATAGCAACAACTAGTAGGTCAATTGAATTTAAAATAAGAAGGATACAACCTAAAAGAAATAAAAGCCAAATAAATCCGACAGAGGATGTCGGGGGAGACCACATATCAGATACGCTCAGTATACAGCTAGAAACACATGAACTGAAGCGATGTTCAGTTTGACACGAAGTGTCGCCTATTTTGTGAGAGGATGATCAATGCGGGCCTAGGGGAAAGGAGGGGTATAGTTACAAGTTGGTGGCTTGTAGTGCAAAAAAAAAAACAGTGAGTTTTTTTTTTTCAAAATAGCACTGTAACATTTTTTGAACACCGTCAGAAAACGAAGCCGATCGGCACCCGAACTTCCTGCGAACGTACGAGACAAACATTGAGTAGTACGTCACATGGAGTTCAAAGTCAGCGAGAAAGTTCTCGGCCTTCTCGCAGCTCACGATTCCATATGTACCCAAAATTAACAGCACTGAAAATCGCTCACAATTGCTCATGTGCGTCGCTTTTAACATCGCGTGAAGAATGTAGATGTGAGACACGGCATAAATGAAGCTTTGTAAACGCCCAAGAAGCTGGCTAGAGTGTGCGACAAAAATCAAGATCCCATGGTCGCGGCATCGCATTTTGTCGATCACGTGCGTGATATCCTCTACTGAGGGATCGCATAATGCCCCGCCGCGGTGGTCTGGTTTCCCCGTTACCCTCCCCCTCTGTAGAGTAGAAGGCTAGAACACACTATTGCTCAGGCTGACCTCTCTGCCTTTCTGTGAATACCCCTTTCTCTCTCTTCCTGCACGCTGCCGGGTACGATAGAAATGGAAAGGAAAGTGATAAGTGTAACCTTAATGGTCATTAAAAGAGCAGAGTGGGTCAGGGGGACACACAGATGCTAAAATATCGAACAATCAAAATAAAAAATAAGAAATGGGCAGGGAATTGGGCACGTAAACCATATTAGTGCGGGTTATTAGAAATAACAGACAGTATTCCAAGATAAGGCTAACGCACGAAGCAGATACAAAACTATAGGTGGACAGATGAGGTGAAGAATATCGCGAATACGACATGCCGCAGAAAGCGCTGGACCAGACTGATTGGCGCGGCATGGTAGAGGCCTTTGCCCTACAATGGGTGTAGTCAGGCTGATCATGATGATGATGATGATGATGATAGCCCTACATTAATACAAATGTCACCAGAAACTTCTCTTTCGGAGGAAGTAGGGAATAATTTCTTGGTCAGATTTTCAACCTTTTTTTAGTAAATAATTTCATTAATTATTTTCTGCCATTTCTGGCAATTGGTTGCTATCACTGCCTCTGAGCACAATGAAATCTGCGAATTTCAAGTTT